ATATAGGTATGTGGATATAGCTATAGATATATAGATAAAGATATCGACATAGATACAGTTATATACACAAATATAGAAATAAAGACAATGAAGATAAACGACAACGGATCGTTAAAAAAGTGGGAGGGGTGCAAGGGAAGATCTATAATTAACAAACATTTTTAAGCTTCCTTTCTTATAAGAATAGTACTTCGTTAGTCATTGTTAAGATAGCATAAGTGGGAATAACTATGAGTCTATGAGTACAGAAACAGTACAGTGTGTGGTCATGCGCCGAACGCATGAAAAATGAAGTTTGGCTGCACACATTAATTTATTATATGAACTAATGAAATCCACCAATAATGCACAACCAATCACACACTTGGTGCATCTGATACGGTTCCAAATTTTTCTAATGCTGTGCAAAAGTTCTAATTCACCTATCTGCCTGGAGTAACTCACAGGTAGCCAATCAGCATTGCGATAGGGACATTCTAAATACACTGCCTAATTATAAGTGCTGTAAAATCGAAAATTTTGCATGCAAACCTGAGAAACACAAACTTATCAAGCTTCACCTGCCTAGTAATATTATGCAACAGAGTGAGGTTTCCAGAAGGATAGGCAAGTGTTCTTACTACCATATCGCAACAAAGTCAGCAAGTTCATGGCCCGTATACCTTGCCGATCGGAAGAGTGCCACAGCCTCCGCGGGGCGATTCTCTCTCATGGCATCTTGAATACGTATGACTGCATCCGCCCTGCAACATCCATGTCAGATAGAAATCAACTCGCAGCAAATCGCCCAGGCTATATTAAGCCACAGGTCCCCTGGCATCTCCCTTAAGTAGAAGTTATACAGTGACACTGCTTCTGTATAATAGACACCTGGTCTATGAAGTACAAATTTTGGGGATTCCCTAAAGGAGCCCTGATATATATATGTATATATATATATATCTTTATATTTATATAGGTTTGACTGTATATACCACACAGGTATATGAGACTGACTTGCTCATCTGAATGCTTGCATGCTGCCTCTTTGCTATACTTTCACTACAGTAAATTTAACCTCCGCTCCTTGACAAAACACATTAACAGTCTATTTTCCAGTACTATCCGACACCACAGTCCATTTTCCACTACTTTCCGACACCACAGTCCATTTTCCACTACTTTCCGACACCACAGTCCATCTTCCGGGACTTTTTTGAAAAATTCCAGGACTCTCCAGGTTATCCAAGACCCGTACCCACCCCGACATTGACCCTATCGTACTTTTGTTGATCTACCGGAGCATCGGACGCCGCGTCAAATGGCGCCACCATCGGCAGAGGGTCGTCGGCGCGGTTCTGGAAGATGGCCGACAGCTCGCCTGAAACCTCGTCCCAGATGTCCTCCAGCTGTTGTTCCGTCGGTCCACCTGTACCACGCCATGTTCGAACAAGAGATCGGGCTCAGTAAGCAAGCAAGGAGGGCAACCGCCTCTCTGACTGACGCACAAGAGCATCCCACACAAGCTCTATTGATTAATACTGCCGTGTAGAGGCTATAGAATAAATAAGCTGGAATAACAGGCATAGGAGAGAATGTATACAGCCTGACCATGCGTACCATGTATAACGAGTAAACGTACTTATATATACTAGTAAATATCTGTTCAACACTCATGGATATATGGAGACCATTTTAAAAGTAAACTGTGGAGGCTTTATAACATTTTTTGCAATCACTGCATGCACCCACCATCAGTGTTTTGAGGCTTTGCTTGCTTCTTCTTTTTCTTTTTCTTCTTGCGCTTTGCTTGAACCATGACGTGACTGTTGGACTGGCAGAATTTTTCCATCATCCGCATAAAAAGATGATTCGTCTCCACGATGTCCTTCAGAAACGATCTACCACAGTAAATAGTTGAATATTATTGTATAGAAAAGTTCGTTAAACTGAAGAATATAGTCCGACTGAAATGTCTGTGCATGCCAACTTGTCAGCGACCAGTTGAAATTAAAGCAAATGCATATAGAATATAGAATACCCTCAGACGTACCTCGGCTGTTTGGTGGAGTCGTACTTGCGCAGAAGTGCCAGAAAAATATCCTTGTACTCGGGGACGTAGAATATGTTACCTGTGCAAAGAAATGTTCAGATTGAAGTCGTACCAACGGTCGAGAGCCGTATATTATTGCTTCTTAACCACGCTTCATCACATATATCTTCATTCTACTCAAGCCCAAGCCAACCGTAGACCTCCAGGTTTATGTATGTGACAAGCAAATCGGTGTTGCATAAATATGTAACTTATGAGTAGTATACGATGTGCAAAATTAATATTAAATTATAGGTTATAATACCCAGATACATTAAAGTACTGTATAAGCCATATATTTTGTGTACAGACAGGGGTAGAAATTAACTTTTGAACAAGGGAGTCCAACGGACTCCCTACCCTCAAAAAGAGGGTGACCGCAGCAAAATGAAGGAGTCCGAAGTCTGAGGTTCAAAATTAAAGATATTAACAATAACGCATGTGCTTATTTTTAAGATTCATGTAGTTGCACGTCTGCCAAATTTTCTTTGGACATTAGCTGAACAATTACAGTAATTCTGCGAGGCCGTGCTCCGGAACGAACTAGTTAGTATGGCTGAATTTCCAGGGAGTCACACGGACTCCTGCATATGTCAAATGTGGTAGTCCGACAGTAAATCAGGGAGTATATGACTCCGGACTCCCGTTAATTTCGCACCCTGTACATATATATTTTCGCGAATTCAGAATTTCGCGAGTTGTTATAATTTCGTGGTCGGTGAATTATGTATTATTCGGTATGAATGATTCGCGTGTTGTTATTTTCGCGGTCGGGGACGCGTTCGCAAAATTTGCGAAATTAAACCACTGCGAAATATACAGCTTATACATTCAAGGATGCAGTCAACCCGACAACTGGATCAACGAGAGTGAACGTTTGTAAGAATGACAATGCATTGTGTCCTATAATAACAGAAAGCACATATGAGTCGAAAGCTATTATTTGAATTCCATACTTTTAATGACTCTGGCGCTCTCGACAATACTTGGCTCAGAAGATTTATCCATCATCAACACTGTATTCAGTAGCTCCTGGTATGCCTTCAGTGCAAGGTGAGCCCTATAAAATATGCGTGTAATCATAATGCACCGCACGTGTATACATAACACCAAGAATTTTTTTTTATCCCACCTAGTAAATATACTTGGACCACAGTATGCTTGCATGACACAACATATAAAGAACGAGGATGCACAGTTTTCATAACCAGAACATCAAAATTACCCAAATTCTCAGAATGTAATGACAGTCATGCTAGAATTGTTATACATAAGTTTATATATATATATATGGTTTCTTCTACATAGGAGACACTGCAGCGCACCGACGTTGTGAAATTTAACAACGCCGTTGTGAAAAAATTCCTGTATTTACCCGCCGTTGTCAAAATTAATTTAACAAATTTAACCATAATTAGAAGGACCTAAAATAAGATTTGGAATGATAATTAAAAGAAATGCTTGTCCGAAAAATGTTGTAGTGTGTGCATGGCATTGCGTAGTAGCTGTTGAACAGACTATAATGTAGTTCTCGTGAATGATGTCTGAAGTGTTTTTGTCAATGTCATGTTTCACGCTTGCATTATCGATTTCAAAATTGTAAAATATTGATAAATTATGGCGTAATATCATTCAGGTAAAACAGTAATGTAGGCTATTTGGCAGTATGTGCTCATTAATGCTATAAATAACAAGTGCCGCGGAGCGACAGCGCTCATCTCACGTCTACTGCGGTGACTCTGTGGTGGAGTGGTGGGATTCTAGTAAACCCTGTTAGTCCCAAATGTGCTCACATACGCGCCGAAACAGTGGAAGACACAGGAATGGTATCAGGAACCTTCTCGAAGGAATGTTCGTTGGGATCGTTATGAAAGTTGCCACGAGATGGCGCATTTGTTTAAGTGTCTTAAGATTAAAGATGGAAGCTCCCATCGTACGTAGTAGCAACAACTATTTGCAAGACAGAATAGGTAACCACTCATCCATTTACCTACACAAGCCTACAGGCTAAAATAGAGAGCTGCCACCTGTAACTAATTAACGCAGGCAAAAAACTACACAGTACTATCACCACCACATGCACTGGCAGTGGCATAAGTTACATGTAACACACTGACAGTACAGAATGCCATAGAAATTATACGATTTAAGGAGCATAAACCTTCTTCAACCAAATTTAGCTTTTAAAATCTAACTGTGACATTGTAGCCTCATACGTCCAGGCATGTATAGATTCTACTAGCAAACCCGGCAGTCAAATACTTTCTAACAGTAAACAAATCCATGTTTAACCCTCCTCTTGAGGGTCAAAATGTTATCCGACACTTACTCTTCGCATGTCAGCAAAAAATACATTTCATGGTCCTTTCAATAAAGCCATAAAAATGCTAGGTCACCACTGAAACAAAAAAGTTTTTCAATTGCTCAGTCAGACCATGTCCTCAGAAAATGTCTAAAATCTGCCCTGTGCCCCATTAACCTTTGACCTGTGACTTCCAATTTCGGCACAGTGATGGCTTTTCCTACCATGATGCTATACACCGACTATCACGAGCCTAGGTCGAGCCGTTTAGATTTGTGCTGCAATTCTGCATTTCCTCCCTATACCTTAAGTTAAGGAGGGAATGTTCCCACTTCTTTTACACCTCTTGACCTTTGACCTCAGCTTCGACATCCCAACTCGCTTTCGGATTACCCCCCACGTCCCGACTTTCGAATCCGTACGTCGATTTGTGACCAACTGTTGACGGATGCACGGACGGACGGACGGACGCACGGACGCACGCTCATGTGAGTCTACAAGCTGCATCCGACTATGTCAGATGAGCTAAAAATGTAGGTACTCGATAACACGGCTGAAACCACCGGCTCGAAGGGCCGGTGTTTTTCCAATGTTACTGGCCCTCCAAATAATTTGGTGGGTGCTAATTTCGTGCGCTTATTATTATATATATATATATGAAGAGAGAGACAGAGAGAGAAATTGAACAAATAATAGAAGTTGTTCCTATCATCAAAAATCTCACCTTATAAGCCTAAAAAAACATTTACTATTCGAAAAGATAAATATGGAAACATAGCCTAGTAGGCATGAAACGCTTCAGACTGTATTTACCGCAACAAGCTGAAAGCAGGCAATGAACAATAATGCAGTACCTTCTACTCCAAACTTTGCTCTCCTTCTTGTCACTGAACATCATTTCATAATAGTTCTCGAGATTCACCTGGATGTAGTGAAATGTCTCCGTTGATATCGTCTCGCTGAAAGTACATTGAAGCAAAAGAAACTAATATGGTGAAGTATCACAGCACAACATTCTAGTAATATATTATTACAGCAGAGTACATTAGGACAAAACACATTTCATTAACGTATTTACAACTTTTCCTAACAGCAACTTAGTGAAATGTCACTGAGATTATCATCACATTGAAGGTAAATTGAAAGCATTACAGCACAGCATTCTACTAAAACATTAGGACACATTTCCTTGAGATATTGACAACGTTCTATAACTGGCACGACATTGGAGAAGTACGATGTAAAACGGAAATAATAATTTGTCAGCAGGTTCCTAAATATCTGTGATATACCTGATGAGTGCAACATCAAATTTGTAACATCTATTGAACTCCATGAAATATCGCATCGACCACAGGAAATACGTTTCGTCGTGGTTATCCACTTTCTGTCGCTTCAGCATATCCTAAAATAAATGATGGGTGTAATTATATTAAGTAAAAGGTTCATGGAATCAAAGGTACCATCAGCAAACTTCGCCTGGAAGATTTTCTTTTATACAACTGACCATTACATGCCCGTATATGACAGGCTACAGGAAAGACACATTTTAATTGAGTGACTTTATCATGCAATGAGAGCTTGAATGGTACAACTTGCAGATAAAAAGTGTGATCATTTGGCAAAATATAGGGGTGAACACGTTCTATACATAGTTACCACTCTATATAAGTTTATGGCCAAGCCTATTGCTCACAAGCCACCCACGAGCTAAGCTGAACTGGAAATACAAGACATAATAATTACATTTACAGTCTTCATCAGAGGATTGTAGCAGTTTTGCAGGAACTGAATGCAAAACGCTTTCAACAGCAGTCTGACACTTAGCGTTGAGCGTCTGTAGACCTCAGCATCCTTCGCCGGCAGCTTATTCTTGGCTATTCGTCTGAAACAGTTTCATACCTATGCGAGGGAGGATATGTCATGGCAGTCATCTAGGAGCGAAGACAGACCCACAACTGGCGGGATACGCAAGGAGACATGTTATGCAGCAAGGCTTATATAGATAAGATTCAGCAGACGCATTCAAGAAGAAGGAAATTCTTATATTTCCATACATGGATATGACTTAGTCAGACTTACACATCACCACATACCCTCCACTTCAGTAGTTAAAATGCAAATCCAACTAAAATCCAACATGAAACTATTAAATTATATATACTTGCATTCACGCAAATGTTAGTATATTTATTAAGTTGATGTTACAATACTGCATATTGTGTCTGCATATGTATGCATTTCTTACTCTACTTCACTTTCTAATTAAGAGGCAGATTTATGACCCTTACCTGCGAGTTTTTTGTTGGTCAAATGACAGCGACTTCACGTCGGCTTGGTTTCGGTGGTAAATAACATCATTCTGACTAATTGATTTGACGTCTTTAATCAAATATGTGCCTCCAAACCTTGAATGTCTGCATAAAACACACCAACGTTCACACCAGTGTCCACTTTAACCTAATGCCCCTAGGCAAGACCAATCGAATATTTTGCACCACACAAATAAACTACTGAAAAAATTATCGATCAAACAGCTAGTTCAAATGTTACATCAGATTCGCATTTACACGTGCCTTACACATTAGAAAAATTATTAATAAGAATTAAAAAATTTAATAATTAAAAAATGATAGAATAAAACAATCACCTTGCGCTGTACTTGAACATATTGGCACGTTTCTGCAGTGCTTCTAAGTGGCGCTTCTCAAGTAATTCTCTCTCATCCTTATCCTTCTCCGACACAGCCCTCGCGTGCCCGGCCCTGGCCAGGGCTTCAGGTTTCTACGAAGAATAACACACTTGTCTTTTAGTAATACATGGGATTAATAGTTTAGTAGTAGCTACACATACTTTAACCCTGTTTTTCCCTACTTCAATGTTAATGTATTCCTGTTTGTATTATCCAAATTCCCCATACCCCCTCTTTCCACGAATGTAATTTATTCATTTGCCTTACATGCATCTTGTGAGAGCTACAACTATCGTAGACAAAAGGCTATCAGAACAGATTAACCGTACGCTTTTTTTACATTACGAGTGAGGGCAAACATGGAAGGTTGAGAAATGAAAGTGTCAATGACACTGTAGCTCACCACAAAAAAGGACAAAAATGAGTGAGTAAGAAGAAGTCAGTTTTAATTGAGCAACCATCGACGTACATTATAGAAACGATTGCCATCTGTATATCGCAATAATAATTTGTAAACCAAAATGAATCACAATTTGTGACCGTAGATGGTGCTATACCCGCTTTGTAGCGATGGCGTTTGAAATAAATAGGTTATGCTGCGTTCCGACATGTTTTGTAAACGTTTACTCTAATATAGACGTTTTATCGGCAGGGTGGAGAGGAAATACCAATTTTGCATTAAAAATATTGTCAATGAAATCTTGTAAAACGAACCAGCACGGTGGGAAAGAT